ATTGCTCAACAGTAAATGTGAAACAACAGCTGTTTGAAATTATGCACATCTGTGAAGAGTAAATGAGGTAGGCTGCCGGTAAAGTTCAAACTTTTTCTGACACTGCAGAGGCACACTTTATAATATGTTCCCTCTGCATTCAAACACAAACTGCCAAAGAAACACAATACAGAGAAGTTTGGCAGCATCTTGCAATAAGAGGTAATTAACTTAGTGAGATGCAGTGAGTCATGGTCATGCCTCTTAGCTTCAATTAACTGTGTTTCGAGTGTAATGAAAGCAAAACTGAACTAGCAAAAGGGCACTTAGGATTTCACCGAAATGTGCAAAATAAAGGGACTTTCTGGATTAAGCATGGCTCATTTATTACTTTATGTGCACAGACAGAAAACAATTGTCAAAATTGCAGTTGGGGGAAAAAAACGGTTCATATAAGAATCCTTATCATATTATATATGATTCTTATTTTTTTACATTCTCAATCGATTTTTAAAGTACACACCAAGTAAAAATCGTGTCATAAAATAAAATACTACAAACTTTTTATTACAATGAATTGTTTAGTTTAACATGAATCATTCTCACAATTTGTCTTAGGTTTGCATTTTGTGTTTTACACTCAATGAGTTGGTATGACTCTTTCAAACAAAAAAAATCCACTGTCTTTAAAGCATTTTACTCTGCTTTCATGAAATGGTTTCCCACAACAATTCTTCTTTTTTAGCAAACTGAGTATATTGAATATATATCTAGTATCTAGTATGCACTGACTTGAACATTTAATTATTTTTGAATCAAATTGTGATCAGATTTCTCATCAATTCTAAGCCAATCACATGAGCGCGCCCCCACGAGGGTATGATTTATTGAGTTCATGACGTAGCGCTTTCTATACGCATTTTGCGTTGTCCGGAGCTGACAGGTCCATCTCAGGACACCTCCACTCTCAGTACATTGCCACTTTCCAAACAGGAAATGCACGCAAATACAATCTTTTATATTATTAAGGTACAGCGCCACTTTCCGAACCATTAATGAATGCTTGTGTACACAAAAATGGCGGGCAAAACCGTTTTAAATGTGTGTTTCCTGCAGGGACGTGCACAGACATTTGGAGGGGCTATTGCTCTAAACTAGAAAAAGGGCCTCCCCCCCTCAAAAAAAAACACAAGACCTTTTTAATTTTTTTCTTAACGAAAACCAGGGACATTTTTAGTTTTGCTGTCCATATCTCATTAAAATATCTAATGTTACTAACTATTAAAGAAAAAATGGGGACAATTCTGTTTTAATGTAGGCTAGTTCGACCATTGTAACTGCTGTGCAGACATACTGATAAAATAGGGCTTCTAAGTAATTTTCTTAAATAAACTCACTAATGAATGAAACCAGTTCAAAATGCATTATTCTTATTCTTATCATTCTTTATGAGCGCAGTAACGGTAAGGTATCTAATTACTTATTTAGTATTCCATAACTTAATAACAGAGATGGTCAAACTAAAGCGGTAGAGACATGGCAGAAATCCTACAATGAAGCGGGACAGTGAACTGTTCACCCGTATGTGAGAGAGGGCGATCAAGAAAAGAGAGCGAGCGACCCCGTTGAGGAAAAGACACAGAAAGACAGAAGCACAATAACAAGTATATTTAGCTTTAGTTTTTTTTGTAAATAACCAATGGTGTCAAGAGGAAGTAAAGTCCCCTGGTTTGTCCCCTATACTCTAACTGCCATGAGAAAACTCAAAATCAATATAAGCATATTTAAAAACGGGGACATTTCCGGGGACAGATTGACCCGGGGATTTGCCATCAAAGCCAGGCAGGCATTTGGTAAAATCACCATAGCATAGCCATATGAGGCCGGAAGGCTGTCCATTGCTTTCAGCTGTCAGATTGTAAACAAAGTCACGTGACTGGGGGCAGATGACAGCGCTGACAAGGTGTGTTTTATCGCAGCGAGACGCTACAATACTAATTGTGGGCTTATCATGTTGATTCGGCCACAACAGAAAAAAAAACCTCTTGCTCTCTCCAGAGGGGCAGGTCAGCCAAAAAGGGCAAAAGGGCCATTGCCAGGGCAACATTAGCCCGTACCTGTGCACGTCCCTGGTTTCCTGTATGGTGAATACAGCTGCTTTATTTATGTCTGTATGAAGTTGTTGTGAGTGTGGATGGAGCAAATACAGGTTAGCTTAGCCTGATCGATCTGTACCCTGTACTACGAAGCCAGTTCTACAGACCCTGGATATCTCTGAGTTATCTGGCTTAACTAACCCTAACAAGCGAGATCTCGCTAAGCGGTCCTACGACGCTGGTTATCAACTCAGTACATCAACCCAGGGCTTCTCTGTCAGGCTGAGACAAGCGTACTGACAGCGCAGCGTCATACTTCATGGATGAAAAGTAAACTATAATATTAGACAAATATGAAGAAGTTAAACATTAAACATCCATGACTTAACCCTTATGTTGTGTTCGGGTCTCCCGTGTCCCGTTTCAAGTTAAAATTATATAATAACTACGCTCTAGTTTTTTTTATCGAAACAAGGCTTCATGATATCCTCCACAACAGCTATATAAACACTACAAAACTGATTTTGACAATTTTAGCCAAGTCTGAAGGTCTCTAAAAAAAAAAGTGTATCATTTGGTGTTCGGTTCTGGGAAGACCCAGCAGCATTGTTGTGGGTGACTCGGGGTCAAATTTGGCCCAATCAAGATTCATCTTTGACGTTAGACATTTGAAGTCTCAAGTGTTTCGTCAACTTAATGTGTTAAAATAACACTTCGGCATACAGTACGTGACAATGTACGTGTTGCTAAACACAGCTGACAGCTGCCGTGAAACTCGAGCGAGTATTCGCATCGCGTCCGGTGTGAACGCACCATTATTACAAGTATTATATAATTACAAAATAAAATCGCCACTCTCAGCACAGCGCCACTTTCCGAACAGGAAATGCACGCAAATACAATATTTTATATTATTATTATTATTATGAATAATAATATATATATAAATAAAGACATCTTGTATTTTAGTTACACCCGCTATTGATTAATGTTGTCAACATTGGACCTTGACACCGTCCACATAGCTATAGTGAAATAATATAATAGAAAACATTAAGCCTCTTTGATTTAATAATCGAAGCTGAAACCTCTCTGCCATCTCATATAACACACACTTCCTTATTTATCTTTGGATAATAATAACGTAAACATAAAGACGACTATACTACTGTCCTTCGTTCCTGAGATTAGCACCTGCAGGCTCCATGGACCTGTCATCTCCGGACAGCACAAAATGCGTACATGAAGCGCTACGTCATGAACTCAAGAAATCATACCCTCGTGGGGGCGCGCTCATGTGATTGGCTTAGAATGGAGGAGACATCTGATTGGCTATAGATAGAAAAAATTACAAGTAAGAATCGGGTGACCGTCAGGGGAGTCTCAAAAAACCCACACACGAATGCACAGCGATCCATGCACAGAAAGCGGTTTGTGTTTGCAGGTGCAGAGGTTTTAAACGGAAAACAAATATGTGAGGATCAAAAATACATCTGTAAAACTTTTTTCTGTATTTGGATTTTATTTACATGTATATGAAACGGAACACATTTGTGTGTGCATTGAAAAACACAAGTGTGAATCCTTTTGCGGATCATGAAATACAAGTGTGAATCCTTCTGTGTGCATGTGTATATTATTAGACTGTTCTGAGCCCATAGTTCTGAGCAAGAGAATATATAATTCAAAGTGCAGATATCCCATAATTAGACTGATCACCCATTCAGAAACAAGTGGACATACAGAAAAAGATGCAAAGAAAGACTGTTTGTTATGCTCTTGTGTTTCATTAGTTAGCAGCAGGAGGCCAACAGTCATCACTCAGTGTGTCCTGGATCTGTCTAAAACAACAGCAGACACACACACACACACACACACACACACACACACACACACACACACACACACACAGTTTAGCATTCCGACAGCAAATTAATTATCCTTATGCATATTTAATGTGATTTAGTGGAGGGAAAAGCAATTAGCCAAGCTGCAATCCTACAGATGTGAAGATTCACATTTTGTCCAGCTCTAGGGTAACTAAAGATTTGTCAGTGTTCCAATGGTGTATTTTAATGTATTGCTCTCCCTACTGCAAACACAAACCTATATGGATTATATTGTTGTGTTCTGCTCTACAGTGACATGTTTACATGCTTTAATGTTCAAAAAGGTATTTATTTTTCTCATACTGCCTGTGCTGCAGCACCTCTTTTCACTCTCTGTCTGAAACCAGAGCCCAGTCTGCTCTGATTGGTTCTGTTGTGATTGGTCAACCGCTTAAAGATGTCCCGCTCCTTAGCCACGTTCGATGTTTTGGAGCGCGAGTGTTATAGTGATGTCACTATGGTACGGAAATAAAAAAAGGAGTCCGACCAAGGGTTTTCAGGCACGGGGGGTGATGTAACTTTTGGATATTAGCCTTTGCAGACCATTTACATGCACAACAACCGATATAAAACACTACAGGAAAGGGAAAACACACAAAAGCATAATAGGGCCTTTTTAATGTATATAATCACAACAAGGTGCCATCTTCACAGAGTATCTTGTCTTACAATCTTTAGGAATGTCCCCCTTTAGTGTTAAGAGCTACTGAGAGTTAGTCTTAAGACGTCCTCAAAAACCTTCTGAAAGAAACTTTTACTTATTGAACTGAAAGAACCGGACAGCTTAGAGAGGAGTCCGGGCAGACCCTGCTGCTTTTAATAACATTACTTTTCTTGAATGATTGGTGGAAAGGTGACCTGGCAGGGACAGTGAATGTGTAATGAAATATTCATCAGCACACAGAAGTGCTTTTATCTTTGGGCTTTTACAAAATGCTGACTCAAGGCAGGAGCTACACAAAGTACTGACCTGTCCTCTGAACAAACTTTTAACTTCTTTCAGACTTAGAAGCTCTCTGAGTTATTTACATCTGACTTGCCTGTCAAACTGCAATGACATGAGACACCTTTTCCGTTCTCAGTTAAACTTTTTCCACTTGAGCCATTTAGGGCGCTATACACTAGGCATTTGGAGTGGGAAAGCACTCAGCAAGCAAATGCTGGGAGAAAACGCTTTAATGTTATTGAAAACCATTACAAAAAGCCCCAGGCTACCAAAACATGCTCTGTCAGAGCCTTAGGATGTTTTGTGACCCCCGATATTTAAGAAACAAAATCGGCTAAGCGAGCTGCCAAGTTCAATCTAGCTCAAATTTGCATATAACTCTCCATATGCAAATATAAATGGAGGAAAAGTAGCAGCACTAAGTGAGTCAGTAAGTCAGCATCTTTATAAATCCTATGTTACAACCTACTTCCCAATACAAGCCAAATATATATCCTCTTAGGGTTATGGTTGAAATCTTCTTCTCAAATGTAACTAAAGCATATTCAATAAAAAAATATTGGAAGACTCATTATCGAAAAAATACAATATGAACTGATTACATTGTAGTCCCTAAAACAATACATACCGTTTAACAATGAGAATGAAGTTTTGAGGAGCAAACTGAAATCAAATGAGAGCCCTGCCGATGCAGGTCACTGCGCTGAAATCCAACCCTGAGGCTGGAGGAAATGTTTTTAGAGTTACTCTTAAGTAATCTTAAGTAAACGATGCAGAGAAACTAATCCATGCATTTGTTACTTCAAGGCTGGATTATTGTAACTCCTTATTATCAGGGTGTACCAAGAAGTCAGTCAAGTTGCTTCAGCTGATTCAAAATGCTGCAGCTCGTGTACTAACCAGAGTTAGGAAAAGGGACCACATTACTCCTGTTCTGGCTGCCTTACACTGGCTCCCTATAGAACACAGGATAGAATTTAAAATTCTTCTTCTCGCCTACAAAGCCCTTAATGGGCAGGCGCCATCTTACCTTAAAGAACTCATTATACCCTACTGTCCTATTAGGGCATTGCGTTCCAAGAATGCAGGGTTGTTGGTTGTTCCTAGAGTCTCTAAAAGTACAATGGGAGCCAGAGCCTTTTCTTATCAAGCTCCACATTTTTGGAATCAGCTTCCAGTTTGTGTTCGGGCGGCAGACACCCTATCCGTTTTTAAGAGTGCGCTTAAGACCTTCCTTTTTGATAAAGCTTATAGTTAGGGCTGATTAGATTCAGCCCCTAGTTTAGCTGATATAGGCTTAGTTTGTCGGGGGACATCTTACTTCTTCCTTCTCTCTGTCTATACCTGTGTACTCTCATGTTCCGATTAACCCAGCTTCCCCAAATGTCTTTCTTTTTGGTGTCTGTATACGCTGGGATCCGGAGTCATGGATGATCCTGCGGTCCTGTGTCCTGCATCGCGAGCCCTGGATCTTGAGTCGTGGCTGTGGTCCTGGATCATATGTCCTGGATGGATATCCTCGTGGATTCATCTTCCTATTATACACACATGCATTTCCAAACATTTGGACTACCTATGTTGCAAATGTATTATCTTTTCAATTTACACACGGCATCTATTGCACGTCTGTCCGTCCTGGGAGAGGGATCCCTCCTCTGTTGCTCTCCCTGAGGTTTCTCCCATGTTCCCCCTTAAACTGTGGGTTTTCTCTGGAAGTTTTTCCTTGTACGATGTGAGGGTCTAAGGACAGAGGGTGTCGTATTGTCATACTGATATTCTGTACAAACTGTGAAGTCCACTAAGACAAATGTAACATTTGTGATATTGGGCTATATAAATAAACATTGATTGATTGATTGATTGATTGATTAAGCCATATGTGGAGTTGGGTCTCCAGAATTCAGATGTGAAACTTAAAAGGTAACCATGTTGCCCTAAAGGACTAAAACGTCAAGCACAGCAAGAAAATCAAGTTACAAGAAGCAACGAAAGCAGAAAGCAAACTACTCAGCTCCAAACTACAAATCTAACTTTAACTTGACGGATAGGAATATCCAACAGGACTGAATTTTGCCAAAAGCATTCAAAATGTTATAATGAGGACTGGGAACAAGTGAAACCATGAAAATAGGTCAGGAGCAACCCAATGAAAGTGATAACATATCTGAGGCTGCTGCCCCATTTCCGATTAAGAATCCTCAAGAGGTGCGTGAGATTTATGTATTCAGGAGAAACCCAGGAAGGAGCACACTTAACAGCGGGCGGCCATCCTCAATACGCCTGTGTCCTTTAAACCGCGGCAGAGAATGTTGCTGCTGCTATAGACAGATGGCTGCAGAGGCTGCCAGATGAGAGGCTGTCACACATTCAAATTCCTCCAATAGATTTATACACTGTCCCAATAAATAAACTGTTTATAGAGCCCAGGATTGTTAGGATCTGTCTGTGTTGTAGTTTTGTGTGTCTGGTTATGGGTATTTTCATCCTTGTATATTGTCTGGTCCTTCTTCCTGTGTTTTTCCTCCCGTCGTTAGTTTCCCTGGTGTGTCTAGTTGTCTGATTGTTTTCACCTGTGGTCCTTGTGTTTCTCCTCCCCTGCCCGGCTGTGTCTCGTCTTGTGATTACCCCTTCCTGTATTTAGTCTTGTCTTTTCCTGTGTTCAGTGTCGGTTCGTCTTGTGTTGTGAGTAAACTGCGGTGAGTGTTCTGGTCTGTATGTACGTATATATAGCCTTGAAATAAAGGAACTATTTTTGTCACTTAATCTGCATTTGGGTCCTGCTTCCTACACACACCGTAATATTACGAACCGACCAACAATGGACCCAGCGGATTTTGATTTGGACTTGTTATCCCTAGAGTACACTCTTCAGTGTCATTATGCTGAATGGAGTAGAACCTTGGCTAAAAGGGACAAAGAGGCTGTCCTCAAAAAGGCACAAATGGAGGTGGACAACATGCCATGGTTGAGAGGCTCATTGCCTGAGTTTCTCAGAGTTTTCTCACGCAGCCCTGAGTGTCTGTCTCCATTCTCTGACCCTTTCTTGGGATCCCGCCTGGCGTTTGGAGGTCCACGGAGCCTCCAAAAGACTTCTAAAAAAACGCAAGGTCAGGAAGCCAGCTCGTACTCAGGTACTGGTCCTAGCAGCCATGGTTCCGGCTCCAGAGCCGGCCCATACAGCCATGTTTCCGGCTTCAGAACCGGACCTTACAGCCATGTTTCCGGCTTCAGAACTGGATCATACAGCCATATTTCCGGCCATGGTTCCAGACCTAGTACAGTCCCCAGCAGCCATGGTTTCAGCCCCAGTTCTGGCCCGAGCAGCCATGGTCCCGGCCCCAGTCCCGGCCCCAGCTACCACAGTCCCCTCTCCAGTCCCTTCTCTAGTCCCTCCTCTAGTCCCCTCTCGAGTCCCTCCTCTAGTCCCCTCTGGAGTCCCCTCTCCAGTCCCCTCTCCAGTCCCCTCTCGAGTCCCGTCTCGAGTTCCCTCTCGAGTTCCCTTCTCTAGTCCCTCCTTTGGTCCCTCCTCTAGTCCCTCCTCTAGTCCCTCCTCTAGTCCCTCCTCTAGTCCCTCCTTGAGTCCCCTCTCGAGTTCCCTCCTCTAGTCCCTCCTCTAGTCCCTCCTCTAGTCTCTCCTCTAGTCCCCTCTGGAGTCCCCCTCTCGAGTCTCCTCTCGAGTCCCCTCTCGAGTTCCCCTCTCGAGTTCCCCCTTGGTTCCCCTCTCGAGTTCCCCCTTGGTTCCCCTCTCGAGTTCCCCCTTGGTTCCCCTCTCGAGTCTCCTCTCGAGTCCCTACTTGAGTCACGTCTCAAGTCCCTACCCAATGTCCTGGTCCGTTGAAGGTTCCGCTGGGGGTCCTGCCAACTCCATGTCTGTCTCGTTGGAGGTCCCGCGGACTGCTCTCCTGCCGGGGGTCCTGCCAGCCCTGTGTGCTGTCCCGTTGGGGGTCCCGCCGACTGCTCTTCTGCCGGGGGTCCTGCCAACCCTGTGTCCTGTCCTGTTGGAGGTCCCGCAAACTTCTCTCCTGCCGGGGGTCCTGCCAACCCTGTGTACTGTCCCGTTGGGGGTCCCGCCGACTGCCCTTCTGCCGGGGGTCCTGTCAACCCTGTGTCCTGTCCTGTTGGAGATTCCGCCGACTTCTCTCCTGCCGGGGGTCCTGCCAATCCTGTGTCCTGTCCCGTTGGGGGTCCCGCCGACTGCCCTCCTGGCGGGGGTCCTGCCAACTCCTGGTCCTCTTCCGTGGGGGATCCTGCCGAGGCCTGTCCCACCAGCGCCGGTTCCTGTCCGGCCGACACCGGGTTCTGCCCGGCCTCCTGAGAGCCGCGGTCTTCGCCCTCGAGCCCTGCCCCCTGAGTGCTGCGGTCCTCGCCCTCGGGCCCGGCACCCTGACTCTTCCTGCCACTGCCTTCGCCCCTCCATAACCCCCTTTTCAAGCTCTGCCTTGCCCCTGGGCTGTCAGCCCAAGCCCGTCCTCCAGACCCCCTCCACCCACCCTGTTGGCCCTAGTTTTGTGTCCCTCCTCCGGTCCCCCTCCGCCCGCCCTGGTGGCCTGGTATTTTTCACTTAATCTGCATTTGGGTCCTGCTTCCTACACACACCGTAACAAGGATGTTAGCTAATAGAGAAACACTGCTGTCCATACAGCTGTATGAAGCTGCTGCTATTTTTCACAATTACCACTAAATCACAATGCTATTGGCGTCTAATCATTTTCTCTGATGATAACCATCGCTTCAGGGTTTTGATCATCAGCTCATATTGACTTAATAACTCAAGTTGGACAAATTAAAGTTTAGTTTGTCTGTAAACGTGCTCGGCATGCCAGTGTCTGTACCATTTGGGTTCAACCAAAGACGGGTCCTTAAAGACATACTGTGTGACTGTCCCGGTTCGGCTTTGGAGCCACACAAGGAAATTAAATATCATGTTCTCATTTAATCAGATCACATCATGTCATTTCGGGGCATAGCTTTAATAGGGCAGACTTAAGCTCTGTCCCAAATGTAGGGCTTCCTCCTTTTGAAGTACACATGCTACCATTTGATACATTTGAATGGGTTGACAAGGCTGTCACATTTGTAGTTTGCCAACACAACTGCTAAAT